TGTTTCCCTATAATAAAGAGACAGATTGTTGATGAGGTAAAAACTGGATAAATTCAGCATTTAAAAACCATTAAAATAATTTACATTTATCAGCTTTTTAAGGCAGGGGCTCAATAATGGTTCAGTAATAAAAAGACAATGAATCATGTGTGAAAACCTGAAACCCCTGGCATGTCCTTAATAGAAGCTCTGAATTATTGATACAAGATAAAAAGCCAAGTTATGATTTTCAGTTTTCCATCTTCAAATAGTTGTTGCCACTGCTAGTATCCCTGCATTTTGTTCCATGCTTTTTTTTTGTTTGTTTTCTTCTGTTCAGTTGTCATCTGTATATAGAATTATGGAAAAATAAGCACATGCACTTAATATAAATGGTTAAAGGGGTTGTAAGTAATAGAACCTCACATTTGTTTCTCCAGGCATTTGCTATAAGTTTGTTTATGCACTTCTGAGGTATCTTACAATTGATCTTAAACTCAATTGTATTCTTTCTATGTCAGATTGTTCATTTACCAGATTTTGTCATTGTGTCCTAATGGAGAATAGTCAGTTATGTAACAGTTTGAGTGGAATCTTTTTGTAATCCACTCTTTAAGCGAATGAAATCAGTCTGTCAACCTTTTGATAGTTCAGTAACAGTATCCACTCAATCATTCTTTTATCTGATCTGGATTATTGTCAAGTTTAGGGGTTTACATGCAAAGACTTTATATCATCCTTTTGTATACTGAAGCTTATTAAACCCCCTCTATCATCATCGTCATCTCTTTCTAGATCTACATACAGTTGCACAGATAAACTCCCATCTACGAGCTAAGCTGCTGCCACCTAACCCTGGCTGGTCTGCACACTCAGCAGGCCATTCTCCATGGGCAGCCAGATCCCAGGGTTTTCCCAGGGTGTCGGGTTGAGGGCTGGAGACCCCCTCCTCTGTCAGGGCTGTTATTACACAGGGTCATCTGTCACTGCTGCTTCCATTTAGGCAGTGAGAAAAATAGGCAGTGGGAAACTACCAGAAACCACTGGGGACTCTAAATGAACCAAGAGGCATAGATCTCCTTACCTGGATCAATATTATTACTCAGCAGCGGCTCTGTTCACCAAATAAAAGGAGAAAGAAAATTACACTCAGGTTTCACAAATTCACCATTACGCACTGGTTTTCCATCAGATACTTCAGAAAGTATTTGAAATTTTGTGTTATCTTTGTTACACTCCAAAAAGAAAAGATCAACAGTGAAGCACAAGAACCTCTCTGTAGGTTTTCTCAAACTTACTGCTGCCATCTAATGGTGGTGTTTAGTAATTACACCCTAGATTTCCCTTAAATTGACTCCCAGCATTCACTGTGTGTGTATTTGTCTTTTGCATGTATAGGATCATGAAGTTCCACGTAGCAAAGAAGAAGTTTAAGGAGACGTTGCGTCCGTATGATGTGAAGGACGTGATTGAGCAGTACTCTGCAGGTCACCTGGATATGCTCTGTCGCATCAAGAGCCTTCAGACCAGGTCAGGAAACGGCATGCACATTGATTGATATTGACAGATTTCTGTGTTCCTGCCTTCAAAATCAAGGAATTTATAGATGTATCAGTAACCTGAGCTGCTATGTGTTGATTTTGCTGAAATTCGAGCTAACGCTATAGGTTATATAGAACTTCACAGAAAATCATTATAAATTAACTTTAAACTTTAACATTCTTTTAAGAACATATTTCTTTTCCAAACTAAATACATATGTGTAGATGTGTGTTCCCTCTCTCTCCCAGACTAGACTCTGTAGTGGGTCCTCCTCCAAGGCCTTTGCGCAGCCGTGGGAAGACCTTTTCCTCTCCCTCCCTGCATTTATATTACAGCCAGACCAGCAGGAAACGGTCGACACCGGGGTTAGACTCACCCCCTTTTCTGATCCTTCTGCCAAATGCTTCCCTACTAACTTTGCCAGCCAGTTTGAATTTGCATATGCTTAGATGTATTTGAACTAATTCAGCCAAATGTACAAATATAACTTACCTTAATTTTGGTGCAGTAATCATTTCACTGACTTAATAAGTGGACACATAGAAAACACAGGCCTTCTAGGTGAAAAGTGAAGTTTTTCCTTCATTCCACACATTACTATGACCACCGTTATTCTTCAGCACAGACTGAAGTCTCTTAGGTGAACTTTCTAGTATTTTCTTAAAGCAGTCTTCAGGAATAGTTTTCCAGCTTCTTGAAGGACATTACAAATCTCTTCTTTGGATGTTGGCTGCCTTTAGTTCTACTCTCTGTCCAGATGATCCCACAGTCTATGATGGTGCGTGGTTTTCTTTTCAGGTATGCTTTAACTGCATTAGCAGTGTGTTTGGGATCATCGTCAAGCTGATGAACTGAGCCATTGCTTTCCGCATGGTATTGCACAGTGGATTAAAATCTGATGGTACTCATCTGCGTTTGTAATTCAGTTTTGATAAGATCCCCAACACCAGTGACTGAAATGCAGCCCCAAATCAAGACAGAGCCTCCACCACGTTATTTATAAATAGGTGTACAGTCAGTGTTTTCTTCTCTCCTGACCTCCTCAGTATAGACCGCTGACGATTTGAATCAAACTTTTCTCATTTGGATTCATCACTCAATAACACCAGTTCATGCTTTCTCCCTGTTTCCCTTCCTAAGCAATGGCTTATTGACTACCACCCTTCTACTGAAATAGTTTTTGATGAGGCAACATCAAACAATAGCTGGATTAACTGAAGGGCTTGATGCAACTCTTGAGTTCTGTGTCAGGTCTTTGTACAGTTTTTTTTTCCTATTTGTTAATGATAGACATTTAAATGTTCTTCTTCTGCTGTAGATATGGTTTTAGGCATACCGTTTCTTCTTTTGTCCTCTATTTGTCCAGTTTTCTTAATTGCAGGACACACTGCACAGCATGCTGAAACATGCCATGTTTTTGACTAAAAGCATTTTAGGAATCACCTTTTAGAGAAATACTATTTTTTTGCCAGTCGACCTGTGTTTCAGTCGGCATTAGGCGGCTTAATAAACAAAAAATCATTCATTTGAAAATGCCATCCTTCACCTCTGTGTGTATCTGTTCATTTATGTACCTGTGCTTAAAGCTTCATGGTGTTAAGTCAGAGAGAAGTGCCTGATCCAGTCTTTTTCCTATCTCCAGACTGGCCAGTGCAGCAGGCTCTGGTCGCACCCAGCCAAGGAATATGTCCTCTCCTGCACTACACTATTATTACAGCAACCACATGAAGAAGCTTTCTGGCTCAGGGTTATTCTATTTCACATAATTTAATTTTAGACTGTAAAATCCTGCCACATGCAGCCATAGCTGCTAATAAGTGCTATAGCAGTGGCAATCGGGTTACTGCGAACAGATATAAAATATCTGAAATGTATTAACCTTCCCGCAAAACCAGATGGTTGGAGTTTACAGTAGAACATGTAGTTAATACCAGAAGGTTTTGACAATAACTGAAAGGCAAATTAAATTGCAGTACAATTCAATTCCTTATTTTAACCCAAAACTTGATGATTTTAATATGTTAAACTCCATCCACATGGTAAGGTTTTTATTAACCGTGTCTGACACATAAATATTTGAAGTAAATGCAAACAAACCCAAACACAGCTGTCTGACATCACATTAGAGCTCATCTGTATTTCCACACTTCATTCTTTCTCCTTTCATCAGAGAGTGGAAACATTATTGTATGTGAATGCTGCTGATTTGTATGCAGTTGTGTGCGGTTTGGATGTGCTTTTTATTTTTTCCTGAGTGAAAACAGGCACCTGTGCATTACTTTGGAACTCAAAGTATGAAAATTAACTTCACTAACTGAACATAATAAACTGTCAGAGAACAAAGACAACCATTTAATGAATACTCTGACATAATCTGACAGTAATTTAAATCAAGCACTGCAAGAAGCAGCTCACTCAGAGCTTTTTTTTTTTAATTAAATGTGCTTTATATTCTATAAAAAAAATAAAACATGCAAACACAAACAAACTGCTACAAAATGTATTACATCCGATCCTAAAATTGAGTTTCCCATAGATTTTCCTCCTTTTTTTCCATAGTTGTTTTTATACTATAACACTGATTCACTCAGGCCATGTGTGTTTTTTTTTAACTAACCCTAACCTTAGCCTTCCGTTGCTTTAGGTTTGTTGTCTGACTTGGGATAACCTGAAATACAGCAGGGATGCCTTCTTATATTACAACGTCATTATTTTCTAATATAATAATCCTAATGTATGTGTATCTCAGGGTGGATCAGATCTTGGGAAAAGGCCAGATTCCTGTGGATAAAAAAATGAGGGACAAACTGCACCCAGATGGAGACTCTCTAGAGGGCATGAGCATGCTTGGACGTGTGTGTAAGGTGGAGAGGCAGGTGGGTTTAAGAAAAAAAAAAAAGGAACACAGAATGCATGTAAAATGCATTCATAAAATTTTATTACCTCACATTGTCGGTGAGTTGTTTGGGCTCTTGACCAATACCTGTGATATTTTGCTTTTAACAGTATCAATTTATCTGTATTGGAAACCCCCAGAATATTTACAGAATAGTATTCAGCTCTTTCAGCCTTGGTTCTTATTCTCTTTTCTTTTGTGCCTAGGTAACTTCCATTGAATCAAAGCTGGACTCTTTGCTGGATATTTACCGCCAAGTCCTACAGAAAGGCCCCTCAGCACTCACCCTCTCCTCCCTCCCCCTGTTTGAGCTGGAGAACCAGCATCATAACTCGGACTACCCGACCTCAATCATTGGCAGGGACCTTCCCTCCCATCAGGGAGGTGAGCCTGTTGGAAGCGGAGGACACAACAGTGGCGGCATGCGTCGTTCTCTCAATCCCAACCCGAGAGGCTTGCGGCTCATACTGGCACCAGCTGATGATGACGCTCCTCCGGACTCAGCCCCTCCATCCTATCCACCATCCACAGCCTCGCTCTCCCCATCACCTCTGCTGCCCCCTGATAGCCCTTATCCAACTTTGGTCACCACCAATGGTACCCCGAAAAAAGCACACTTCCCTGATCTGCCGCCCCCACCTTCCTCGACGGGGAATTTCACTCTTCAACTCCCCCCTATGGTACACCCCTCTCACCTCCGATGCCCTGCTGACCCGATCTCAGATGATCTGACAGATGGAGTGGCAGTGGACGAGGAAAGCTCTGGCCCCTCTGTTGTTGTAGGATGCGATGTGGATTCTGACCAAGAAGGTGACAACGAAGCAGCCTTTGGCCAGGGAACGGTTCAGCTGCGGGAGAAGCCTGGCTTGAAATCTGAGGGGGTCTGGAGGAGGCACATGAGCCTTGAGGTGAAGCCCTTGCTGCTTCTCTCTTCGAGCCCAGATGGGAGGGCTTCAGACTGGGAAGGTGGTCTTGGGAAGTCGATCTCTGTGCAGAACCTCAGTCAACCTTTGACCAACCGTGCCCCTGGTCTCTCCTCTGCACTCAACAACAGCAGCAGCAGCAATGGTAGCGAACGCAGCACTGCCAATGATGATCTTAACAACTGGGATAACACAGAACTCTTTATTAGAGAGTGCAAACTACAAACATCAGAGGAACATTTCGACTTCCTGTCACAGGGACCTGGAAGCAGCACCTCAGACCTTTTAAAGACTGTGGAGGAGGCTGCACCTCACCCAAAAGGAAAGTCCGAGTTTCTCAGTCAGTCCTCACACATACAGCTGGCATAACCACACTTACTGACAGACACACATTTCCATACTGTATGTAAACACCACTGTGGGTGAAGCCACTTTTTAAAATATTTTTACAGGGCAGTAAACAGATTATGTTGCAAGTTTTACAAATAAATCCTTTCTATATGAACAATGTTTTGATATTTTGTCTAACACTTTTATTCCCAGTTGCATACACACTTTTCATAGGGTACTAAAATTACTACAGCCTATACAGTAAATGAATGTACACGTATGTATGCAAGTGGCCATACTCATGTAAGACAAAATATACAATCAATACACAAAAATGAAAATAACCTTACTGGAAAAACAATATTTTGATTTTATACAAAAATGACCAAGTTTTTCATATTTACTATCATAAATTAAAGAAAAAGATGCTTAATTTGAAGAGGAATGAAGGGGAATCTTGGAAGGAATCCTAATTTTATTTCTAGATCCAGACTTGTTGGAAAAGCTGTAGATGCAAATCAAATAATGGGGCGCATTGTGAGAAAAGGTTACTGTCCAACAATTTTACATTTTTGCTGAGTCTTACTCAACCTGCAAACCCAATTTGGAGTCTAACTTTTCACTTTACAAATTAAAAGATAATGGAAGAAGAATACTGAATAAATGTCTCACAGCCAGAACTACTTGCAAGGTACAGAGTAGCTTAAGATCAAAGAAATCACTCTAACTCATTGGTCAGCTTCTACGCACGTGGTGAAACCAGCAATCACATGTACATGCACATCCGCAGAACTCTTTCACACTCTGACAGTTGTGACCATTAACAATTACTACTACTACTCTAAGAAAGGCCAACATGACAAAGAGCTGAGACTGACTAAGAACTTTTCTTGGAAGAAGCAGAGAGTCACTCACTCTGCTAGTTCACTGTCTGTCTTTGGCAACTTAAAATTTCATCTTTTACTTACTCTGTGCTTTCATACATATCACTACATGGACAGTTTGAAAAACAAAATATAAATAAAGGAAATAAAGGGTGAGGCCTGGTGTGAGAGAAACAGCTGAAGTATAAAAACCTAAAGGTTGAACCAGGGTTGCATGTGTGCAGACTACAGAAATCTCGTTTTCTTCATTTCCTACAATTGCTGAAGTGTTTGTTAATGTTGATGTGGTTGGATGGTTGGTCTAATCTGTCAGCAAACTGTAACTACATTTGAATGCAGCAGACCTAATCGGAAGAAATGTCCTATCAGCACTGACTTAAAACAAGTGTTGGAATTTCTCCCACTTGGTCTGGATAGTAGCCCAGTAAGTTGGATGCAGCTGTTTTGAATATTGAACTGTGGTAGGCTTTTAAGTGGGCTTTCTCAGCCAAGCATGAGATGATGCATGTCTAAGCTGTAATTCAAAAGTGCTCATGCATTTTCTGGTGACTCAGACCTCCATCTGCATGTCAAAATAATGTTTACTCCAAACTTTTAACAAAATGGTACGAACAAAGTCTGCCTACATGATCAATATTATCTGAACTAATTTGATAGAAGTTAAAACCTGTGTTGCTACTTATGTGGATAACCCACTTACTATTTTATGACAAAACTACAACATTTAAAGGCCATTTGTCGTGATCAAACTAGAAAAACCTCATTGATATTTTCTGTGACTTCTCTGATGAAGACTGATCTTAGATTGAGATTATATGTGGCTTATATAAGGACTCTCTTCACCAGGATGTTGGTACGCACTTCATCCTCACTCACCTCAGTCCTAATTAGAATATTTAACCATTCTGGGTTTTATTGTCACTATCTCGAAAATGACTAAAGTGGACCGTTTATATTATGGTACATTTAATCTTTAAGGAGATGTAGAGGCTTATATGTTTTCAGTGTTAGATTTTTGAAAAACTGGTGTCTTGAAAGTGTCTTAATAAACAGTGTTTGTATTGCTGCCTTTTTTTCTTTTAGATAGGTTGACTGGTGTTTAAATGAGAATTATGCACAAAAACTATGTCAGCCGTCTTCATTTTTGTTAGTCATTTTGATTTGTTTTGTATGTTGTCACAGAAGTCTTAAAATGTATTGTTTGTGCTATTCGTGTCCTTTTATTCATCTGTTTTTCCTGTTATATCCCCAGAGAGTTAAGTGCATTTCTTAGAAAATTAACATCCTGTAAAAGAATATAGCGAGTATTATCTTCTGACAAATGACAACTGCTAACACTTGTAGACTGATTTTAAAGTGTTTTATAGACCATGCAGAAGTTGTTCTGGTATGATAAAATATATTGTCATCATGAAAGCACAGTGTGTTTCTGTTGAGATTGACCTGGAAATGTGACATTGTAGTTTATGCTTATGTAATATTGACATAGATTTGAGTTGTAGCTATTGATTGAGCTTTGTTAAAAATGAGAACAGGCCAAATCCATAAGTAACAATGAAGCAAGACACCAAACACAGATGGGACAACCTTAAAAACTGCAATTGTTGCCCTCCCCTCCCAAAGAAAACATGCCTATTTTTGCTGTCTGTATATTGCTTGAGAATCCTCCTATTATTTTTTTCTTCTTCACGGAGCTATAAAGGCCTAGTTTGCCTACAGACTATGCATATTGTATAGTTGAAGTCAAACTCCTGCTTTTCAGTTGGGCATCCAGTTCACTTAAGTTATGTCGCCTTGGTCACAGACTTTATATGGCTTTGATGGCTAATAATACCATTTCTGTATTGCTTGAACGATAATTTATTACACAACTGGCCTTAAAGCTTGATAATGTTAACTTTATTATTTCTTTGAAATTAATTTATTAAAGTGCACACTATGTTCTCTGGATGAGAAATGCAAAGAATTTTATTATTCATTAATAAAGTACAGGTTATCTGAACTTTTTTGTTTTTGTGTCTTTTTTGGTGGAAATTCTTAATTTTATTTATTTGTTAATTAATAAGAAGACAAAGGAACATTGCGTTTTGAGACTAAGAAATCTATAGCCTTCAACTCTCTAAACGGTAGGGTAATTAACAAATGGATATTTCTTAGGCATTTATTTACATTAAATTAAATGTATACACTTTTTTTTATCTGAAATTTCACAATTTTCTATACAATTTAAACCACGTCTGATGTAAATTTATGAAAATTTACAAGAGTTATAGAAAAACTAACTTTTCGGAAAGGACATTAACGCGGCGCCGTCTACGAATTCACTGTTCGACCGTTAATTGCGCTTACTGAAGTAGTGCGTAGGTAGCTGTTGGGTAGCCAAGCTTAAAATGTCTGATTGGGAGGATGAGTACGACCAGGACGGAGTTGCTATCTACAAACCTGCTACAAAACCGGCTCCGGCCGATTGGAAATTTTCATGTAATGACCGTCAAAGGGAAAATGTTGTTTTCGGTGTAAAAAATGGAACCAAATTTGGAGCCCCAAGGGAGATGAGAGCTAATCGTAGCGGCCCGGGTCCCGAGGTCAACAAGTGGGGAGATCGTGGAGGCCCCGGACGACAGACGACGTTTAACAAAGAAGAGTCTTCCCGGCCTCTGACTATCACAGTGGAAACTACCTCAATTGGAAGAGTAATAGGTACGTTGTCAGAATTAATGCAGAGATGAAATTTACAGTAACAAGTCTTTCACAGTCTTAGCAAAACTGCATTTAGTTGTGTTGTTAGCGTTAGCTTAGATTTGATGGGTCCGCGTGAAGAAGCTGTGTAGGTGATGAGGTTGGCCTGTACCCTGGAGGTTCTGCAGGTTTAGACTCTAAAACACATTTTATTCCGTTAAAAGGTCGTGGAGGAGCCACAATCCGTGAACTTCAAGAGAGCTCTGGTGCAAGAATTAAGGCAAGTTGGTTGATGTTGTGTTAAACTAGTACAACAAATCATGGGAAATCACAGTTTAGAAGTAAAAAAACAAAAACCGCTTGAACTTTTAATTTGTTTAGATATGGTTATTTAACTTGGACTTGATAATGCCCTGATGACAATAAACACAATTTTGAGCCTTGAATGGATTCTCATCAACTTATCTTTTCCCTTCACCCCCTTTCCACTCTGTCCTCTCCCCTTTTCCAATTCTTATGAATTCATTGTATCATATTTGGGTTCTTGGGTGCTTTGGTGTTGGGAGAGGTGTTAGGGCAAACAATGCTGTGCCTGGACAACAATGCGTTTCCTCTTTCAGTCTTAGGGGGCAGCTATTTCCTAAGAAATTCCTTTGTGGTGCTAAATCAAACTCCCTTCTAAAACTGAACACCCGAAGTAAGAAGCAAAGCACACACTCAAAACGTATGTAAAAATTGGGCTAATCTCAGGTTTATCAGCCTATTCTCAACATGTTCGCTAACAAGCTCAAATTTGGCATAAGCTTGAGCAAAATGTCAGCATGCTCAGAGTGAACTGCTGAAATATAGATTTATTAACCTATTCCTGAGGTTTTCTTTAAGTGGGTTTACCTGGCTTGGGGAAAGAACAAGAAAGCAGACTGAGGGAATATTGTAGTTGCCAACTTCCACCTACCAGTTTATGTGTGGTGGGCCCATACCTGTAAAATCCATTTCAATCCAATAAAGTTCTGCCATAAACTGGGAAAACATGTAAATTTTTTTTGTTTGTTCATTTTTAACTGTTAAAAGAAAAAGATCATTCTACTTTATTATTTCGGTTACACGCCTAAAAGATTTAGATTTCCATTGATAGTATCAGCTGATATTGGCTATTTACCAGTTTGTTGCTATCTGCATTTTGAAGGCCAGTAAATCAAAACATTTTAGAAAAGACAGGAGAAATGCCCTTCAACCATGTTATCAGTGATGTTTCATAGTTTGTCCACCAGAGGGTACTGTGCATCTTCTCTGTTAGTAATGATCAACAACCAGCTGATTCAAGCAGAGTGTAAACAAGTAGATGAATGATATTCAGGGAAATATGTCATGGCTCTGAAAGGTGGGGAAAGGCATTTTAAATTGCCAAATATCGGTAAAGTGGTCTTAAAAAAAAATTGTATTATGATCAGGGTGTAGTGTGTGTGTGTGTGTGTGTGTGTGTGTGTGTGTGGTGTTCAGAACTGCAATATATTTTAAAATGTTCTTAATATTTTGTCCCCCATGTGTATTTTCAAGTGTTAGGAACACTTATAATCTGAGTGCATGAAGTTTAAAATGCCATCAAACCATCAAAGTTGCTATCCAATGGTAACTTCTGGTACTGACTGTAAATGATAAAAGATATAGTTTTTAGCTCTGTTTCTAAAAGGCTTGAACACAAAATATATTGAAAACCTATTGGGAAGATGAGTCAAAATGGTAGTATTTTTAGAACAAGAGCGAAAAGTTTAAAATCCCGCAGCCAAATTTACTAAAAATGTGAATATCAGAACTAATTCAGTACACAGAAAATATGTAAGATGTTATCCTTATGCCCTCTTTGTTGCTACTCTGTGTTTTCAGATAAACAAGGGAGGTTATGAAGGTGAGGTAGTCATTTTTGGGTCCACTGCAGCACAGCAGAAGGCCAAAGAGATGATCGAAGACTTGGTGGCAGAGGGCAACTCCCAATATTGTAATGGTGTGAAATTTATTCATTTTAATTTCTTTTCTTTTAGAAAATGATGACGTTTTCAAAAAACTTTCCTTGGGATTCTTGGTTAATATTTTTTCCACTAACATTTTCTTTAATTCACCAAAAAAGGGAATTGTTTTTAGTACAAATACTATATAATATACTTTTTTTTAATTGTAAATTAGAGCCATTTTAAGTTAATACAGTGGACAAGAATTTGTTTTGCTTTCTGTCTGACCCAACCTTTATACAGTGGGGCAAAAAAGTATTTAGTCAGCCACCGATTGTGCAAGTTCCCCCACTTAAAATGATGACAGAGGTCAGTAATTTGCACCAGA